TTATTTAATAAAAATTTGTGATGAATCCAAACATCCATACAATTATTCTGATTCTGAGTTGAATTTTCAACTACTGCTCTTTGTAAATTGTCCTTTGAACCCATTGTGCTTTTGATCAATTGAGTGTTTATTTTACGAATGGCTGTTGCTGCCAATATTTTTTGTTGGAAGTGAACTTTCTTGAATCGCCGATCTAGTATTGTTGCAGCAGCAAAATTATAATTTTGCTCTAAATCGGAAAATCTTATTCTAATATTTGTTAAAACTTTGAGCTTAAATCCAGTACCTACAGCAGTCGTAGGTATGTAGTTTTCTATACATCCTTTCGTACAATTAATAAGTGGAATAACTAAATTGATAGTAGCCATTTTTTCGCCACTCAAATTTTGTATTAATTGCCTGATGGGCAACATTATGTTTAAGCAGTCTTGCAAAATTGCAACCTCAGCTTTTGAAATCATCTCCATGCTATTTTTTAGTTCTTTCAGCACAGGATGCATGTAATCATGTAAAACTAGATGCCTTTCAATCATATCGATTTTACTCGTAAATCTCGTTTTTACATCTTGAATCAATTTTCGTTAACTAAACCTTCTTTCTTTTTCTTTTCAATAGCTTCTTGCTGCAATTTTCGTAGTGTATCCGATGCTGGCACGCACTTCTTTACTGCTGTAACGATTGATTTTACATTCGATATTATTTCATTCAGCTGTTCTTCGCCGTTCAAAGAATCTGGTAAAATATGATTAGCGGTGTGTGCCTTGCAAGTGATGTGTCTTGATTCACCAACGATGTCAATACCTCCTTTCACAACATTAGCACCTGCGTCCGTGATCAAAGCTAAAATTTTATCAATAGGTACGCCAAAATCATTAAAAATATCTCTCAAAGACTTTTCAATATTTTCTGCTGTATGGCGGTGATCTAGGGGCACACATCCTAAGCGGACGCTTGTAATTTCATTACTTGAATTTTCTTCATCTAAAAAATGAATGGTTACTCCTAAATAACTTTGTGTGCACTTGTCGGTCCAAAGATCAGCTGTTACGCAGTAAAAGTCTATATTACTCAACTTTTCAACCGTTTTTTGCTTCATTAGTTCAAATTTTAACTCCATTTTATTTGTCATGGTTTTTGCTGAAGGAACGTTATACAGTGGAGCAACTTTTTTCATGAATGCTAGAAAACCTTCGCTTTCCACCATTGACAACGGTCGCATATCTCGACACAACATAAATAAAAGCGAATTGGTTACTTCATCACATAAAGGCCCACCTGTAAATATTTATGTACACATGATTGTATTGTATTACGTGCTTTGCAATTTGCATTCGCTACTCCAAGTATCTTACCTTTCATTGATTCCACCTTTTTTAAAGCATCACGAATAGTCTGAAAATAAATAAATGTTTGTTGTACCATGTTCAAATTTAATTAAGTTTATTTCTATTTGAGAAAAAAGTTATGCACTGTAACGGGGGTGAAACCGTTTAATTATTATATTCGCGCGATTATATTAAAAGGACACGCGTAATTATCAATGCTCACTACTTATCCGGGAGAGCACGAGAAAGTATGCGTCAGTCAACCAATAATTATTAATAACCTATACTAAAATGAGTGGAAGCTATGAGGTAAAAGCGGATCGAAAAACACTTGTTAGTAATATGAATGGTATCCTTTATTATTCCTCAAAATTTACAAAAGGTCGGCCCGCGCGTTTGTTTACATGAACGCTCGCTCGTCGACAACACGCTTTGCCGGTACGCTCGCTGTTCTTTGTTAATAGAGACGCTGTTACATGCACGCATCGAATGTTAGAATCAGATTATTATTCATATGAGCGCGATCGCGAGATTAAGCTGGCCAGCTTACCTTATACTTGCAGACGATCGGAGAAAAACAACGACAACTCGCACAGCACGGAACAGTCTTTTTATTGTTTTGTTTTTGCTCGCGGGTCGCGAATGCGCGCACGGAGTGGTTTCGCCCTCGATGGCGAAACCTCACACACACTCTTTGGATGGCACGTGCTCCCTTTCCTCTGCAGACGAGCAGCTCCTCGTGATCGGCGGACACAGCTAGCTGGCACTTGTCGTTCTCGTCGAGTTTCGATATTTTGCGGCACGTGAATCGGTAGCTCAAAATAAAGGCGGGCGGACACTATGATGGACTAAGCTTCACTGGTTCAAATTCGGTCGCGCGCGTTCCGTCTGCTCGCGTGCCGAATTCCTTCGTTACCTATTTTGTCCCCCCGGCAGGTGCTGCCCTCACAGGCAGCAATTAAGCTAAATAGTCAGCGCTAATTTGACGTTTACCGTCACAGCACTCACAATATTCGTTGATGTGCGAGGTGTTTTCAAAGGTGGATCCAAGTAAGATTTGTTTGCTTCAACGTCATTTAATGACCTTTTCAACATACTGTTTCCTGCTTTATTTTCTATTCCATCTGTTTTTGAACTTTTTGAAGTTTTCGTTAAAGTTTTACAAAACAAAGGGTGTGTCTTTAGATGATTCAGCATATTAGTGGTGTTTTGCAAATACTTTATATCTTCTTGGCAGTGAAAACATTTTAAGTATTCAACTCCATCTTTTAGATATTTCTCGCAGTGTTTCCAAATCACACTTCTTGATTTACCCCTGAAATATGATTTATCTTATTATTATGTTATATTTTTTCAATTTATCTTTTGATAATCTTTCAATAATGCTATACAAACTTTGGTGTGGTAGTTATAGAAGGTTCCTTATTAGTGCCACTGATATCGACACTATTCTGAGATTTATCTACACTATGAAATGCATTGCTGTCTGCAGTAAAATTATTGGTTGGAAGATCAGATGTGTCAGAATGTGATGTACTTGGCGTATTTTGACTAGGAATATTACATCCACCTTTGTTGGAATGAAAAATTGAGTAAACAGAATCTGGTAGCTTATTGGGTTTAGTACGTGCTCCATTCTCATCCCACGTTCCATCACATTTCAAGTCAACAGCATCGCTATAAAAGTAACAATTTTATGTAATTATATTCAATTTATATGGAAATAAAATTAAAAAAATCTTGAACATACTAATCAACATTATCAATAGATCTCCACAAATATTTCAGTTTTTGTCCTTCAAGCAAAAGATTTTCTTTGACATACAATTTTAATAAGTGATCATTACCTGAAATATGCAATTGCATTCTCTAAGTCCATGTAATGCTCAAAAGTATTTGATAATTACAAAACATAATTCACAACTCACTCTTGTATCTCACATAATCCCTTAAACACAAATCATCAATACTAATTTTTTGAGAAGAGGGCTTGTTTATTTTCACCCAAATCAAGAATCGTCTGTGTGATGTCGGGGACTGATTGGGAGATCGATCAGCTACAAACAAATTTTGAAAATTAATACACGAAAAGTGAATATAAACAAACATACAGATTCGCCTAGTATACTCCATAAACCGACAATATAACCTCAAAGTATTAAACGACAATATAAACTCAGTCTGAACTTTCAAATTCAGATTAAAAGCTCGCGCACTTAAAAAGTCTTGAATCGCATTTTCATATTATAATGGTACATGAAAAGAAGGTTATTATAATTTTTCACACTCACGCTGAAAGGGGCTACTAGGAAAATCTTCAGAGTTTTCACTGCGTGCATAATATGATTTTGGGTCATCAACATCATCGTTATAACTCATTGTGTACAATAAAACAATGAAAGTCTAGCTTATTTTTACTTTAAAAACGATAGCAAACTGAATTGAAGTGCCGAGCATTACTGCTGTGGATGATTTCAAGAGTCAACTGCCGAAGTGAGTAACAGCAACAACGTTCGGATTTCCATTCCGCGATTGAACTCGCTGGTCGCGGGCGCGCACGCGCCCACCTACACAGACACACACACAAAGACATAGTTTCGTATAGTCAATGAATTAAATTTTTTATCAAAGAAATATCAAGCGTAGAATACTGCATTAATTGCTTTATTTATAAATTCAATTAAGTAAAAAGAATCCATTTATTAATTATTTTTTCATATTTTTACTTTGATTTAGATTGAGATTAAGGTTCAGAGAATGACTGGCAGCCTATTGAAATCTTTGTACAATTGATATTCTAATTCTGTCATCGTAGAAATTGTAATTGATCCTGCTCTCAATTTTTCCAAAATCCTCAAGTAAAACCCTTTCAAATAATCGTACATCAGGGTTACGAATAGCAGTGAAAATGAATTTAAAAATTAATTTTGGAGTAAAAAATAGGAAAAAAAATGCGCCTACATGGAGAGGAATCATATGTACATACGTGTATACATATATTCAACTTTCAATATATCAGATTCTTTTCTCTACGTATATTTATTGTATTACTTACGGTTTGGCTTTACGCATGGGTGCAAGTACTTGTTCTTGCAGCTTTCTTGAACGACATGCTCCAAACATAATTCTTTTAATTGTCCTGGTGTATAATTTTTAGGATTATGCATTTTTAGTACCTCTTCAATAGAAAAAAATATCTGGTTGAACATTTCTTTTTCTTCGAATCGGGTGAAGTCCAATCCCGTGCAACCAGCGAGTAATGCCAGACGATTTGGCATTATCTTAATATTTTTGTAATTTGACAAATATATTTCTTACGACTTCTTAAAGAAATCGAAGCTCGATTGACTGTAGTTCTCAAGAGTGTACGTGCCGAATGTTGACTGTCGAATGTTCCAAGATAAACGCGTGCAGAAAAAAAACAAACGACAGTTTTGAGATGAAATTCGTAGAGCTCACGGATTCGCGCGCGTTGGCTCCAGCAATACACATGCACATGTAGACGTCAGATTTATTTAGAATTAACCAACAGTTGGTACAGAAGAAAATGATTCACACGTGGTACATAAATCGATTTCGAGTAGGCAGGTAATCGAGAAAATAATCGAGAAAATAATCGATTATCGGAAGAAATAATCGAATGTTTCCTAAGTAATCGAATTTAATCGCCGATCCCTAGGGTAGTTGACGATAGTATCGACTTTGGCTTCCGGAGGCCTCAAAACCGGCAGCGTTAATAGTGAAACCCAAAAAGGAGACCTCCTTCTTGGCGAAGACGCATTTAAGCCAGTTAATGCGTAGCTTGCTGGAGAGCAGTGCATCAAAAACTGCGCGAAGGTGCTCCAAGTGCTCTTCGATGCTCGCAGAGGCGATTAGCAGCGGCATACCTAAAAATTCGAATAGCCCGAAAGGCGTGGTCACTGCAGTCTTCGGCACGTCTTCCTCTGCTACCGGGATCTAGAAATATGCCCGTTTTAGATCGATGGTCGAGAAGACGCGTTTACCGTGTAGCTGCAGCAGCAAGTCGACGATGCGTGGAATCGAGTACCGGTCCGGCACCGTTTGCGCGTTGAAGTTGCGATAATCGCCTGTTACCTGAAACTTAGAGGAGCTGGCTTTGACGATGTGCAACGGGCTCGCGTAAGGGCTCTTAGAGGGCCTAACAATGCCCAGTTGCTGCAACTGAGTGAATTCGGCCTTGGCGGCCTTGAGTTTTTCTCCCAAGAGCTGGCGTGGCCTGAAGAAGACGGGCGGTCCCAGCGTCAATATGTGATGCTTGACAGCAGCCGTTGGGCCGGTACTACAGTCGTTGATGGCAGCGAAGCGGTTGCTGTACTGCTCGACGAGCGCCTTCACGGCTTTCTCGTGTGCAGGCGAGGCTGACGGCGGTGGAGAGAGTATCGAAATCGAGTGTACGGAGACTTTCTTGAGCTCTCCCGGGATTGAACGTAGCGAGGACTCGTCGATGAGGCGCCGTCGTTTGAGATCCGGCAGGAGACCGTAGAATGCCAGGAAGTCAGCACCTAGAATGGGCGTTTTGACTTCCGCCACTATAAAGGACCACACGAGCTTGCGGTCGAGGCCCAAGTTAATTTGAGCTGTGTGCCGCCCATAAGTTTGGATGGACGATCCATTAGCAGCAGCGAGTGTCGGTCCACCATACGGCAGGGCCGAGGCGTAAGTGGCGTGAGGCAACGTCGAGACGATGGATCCGCTGTCGACCAGGAAGCGCGTGCCGGAGGAGCGGTCCATTACATGGAGCTGGTTTTCAAACCAGCAGTTGGCGCTTGAGGGGTGAGCGGTGCTGAGGCTGCTGCAAGGTGCTCGGCCAGGCAGCAGCGTTAGCCACGGTAGATTGCACCTGGAGGCGGCAGCGCCGAACCTGTTATGGTAGTAACAGATTCCGTTGGCGTGGGGCCTAGGTCTGGACTGCGAACGGCTGCTGCGCTGAGTAGCTGTGCTTTGCTGAGCGGGTCCACTGGATGTGTTAGTCAGGCTGCTCACTCTAATGAGAATTTCGCGCGACACCGAAATTAATTCAGAAAGTAAAGTTCTCATTTCTGAGGAATCCGGAGCGCGGTGTTGCGTCGCTTGGATGGACGGAGCGTCGATGCTGAGAGTAGCCGACGACGTGTTGAAGTCCAAAATTGCGTCGGCAGCGTCAAGGAGCTCCTACAGGGTGCACTTGGTCTTGAAAATCTTCAAGGTGTTGCGGGCGTGTTGCGGCAAAAGCGTGAGCCACCTGGTTTTAAGTAAATCCTCCGTAGCGTTGTTACCGGCGAGCTCGGCCATCTGCCTATAAAGCTGCGACGGTTTCTTATCGCCAAGCTGCATGCACGTGAGCATCTGCTCGAGCTACTTTACAGCCGAATCCGCAAGACGCTCAAGGATTCGCGACTTGAGTACCTCGTATTTATTTTGCGCAGGAGGGTTGCGGATGATATTGGCTACCTCGTCGAGAGCCACGTGGTCCAGGGCTCGGATTACCAAATTGAATTTCGAGTCGTCGCTCTTGATGCGACTGATGTTGAAATCTGCTTCAACTTTGTAGAACCAAAGCTTTGCTCTCCCCGGCTAAAAATCCGGAAGCCGGCACTTGGTGACCGAGGCCACATCATCCTCAGCTCCAGACATAACGTCGTCGTCGAAATTTAATGCACGAGCTGACGAAGCGAGCTGTAGGCGCGCCGAAGGACGGAACGGGAGGGTGTTGCGAAGAATCATCGGGTTAGGCGTGAAATCACCAGAACTGCCCGAGAGCTCGTTAAACTCCTCGCTTAAAGTCGAGTTGAGGTCAACCGAGTAATCCCAGCGCGGTGTGTCGACCAGCGTCAACTCGCTTGAGCCTGTTGCTTCTTGCTCAAAGTCGGGGCTTGGTATGTTGTTGTTTGACATTCGCAGCGGTCAAGACGACGACTAAGCGGCTTGGCGCTGTGCTGTAAAATTATAACATAAATAAATTCCTGTTTTGGATGACTAACCTTGAGAGCGAATAAAGTCGAGCTGGATGCGTGTGCGCTGCGAGAATCGCACGAATCTTGCGAAAAATTAAATGCTGGGGGTCACCACTGTAAGATTGATTGAGTTGCTACGCGGGAAACGCTGGCTGGAACTGGATTCCCGCTCTGCTTCTCGTGTCGAGCCCAAGGTCCCTTATGCGCTTTGCGCCAGTAAGATTTTCACCGGCAAAATCGCTGAATAAGGTCGAGTCGGAGAGAAGTAAATGCGCTGATTGCGAAATGCACTTGTTTATTTACAGTTTATTGCAGCAGTTGGGTAGTAAGAATACAACTCCGAACGCCACAGCTGTGGGCGCAGCGAGTCGAAACAGAAAAAAGACGGCTAAGGCGCAGAAGAGCAAATCCTCGCTAGCAGGAGCGCGGAGATAGGCTAGCTGCGCGTGGCTACTTGATCCTCTTCATATTCCGCGCCGGGCGCTACTCCCAGTCCGCTCGCGGTGCGAGCACTTGCTTGCGCGGTTGGCGACGAGGCAGGGAAGTGCTGCCTCCTGGTGGCGCGAGTTGTCTGGCCGGTAAAGGTGCCACAGATTTTCCGCCGCGCATGCGCAGTAATACGTTAATTTGAATTGCTAATCTACCCTACGAAAATCTTTTTTTCTCTATTTTTAGAGAGGGTCCAAATTCCAAAAAAGCATTTTACTGATGGTACAAATAAAAAAGAAACCAATGGTATTTTTTTCTTTTAAGATATTTATCATTTTTCTGCCAGGTGTATGAGTTTTCCGAAATATCGTTTTTTTCGTTTTTTTTTAACATTTTGGGGGGGGGTACAAATTCCAAAAAAGCAATTTTCGAGTGGTACAAATTATGACAAAGCTAACGGTATATTTTTTTTTTAAATCAATCATTTTTCTGCTAGGGTCGTTTCGATACCGTGCGGTCGTGCAAATTCCCGCGCCGCGTGTTAACTATCAATCGAACGATTTATTCTTGTTTCTCGTTACGATTAAATGCGTGCGATTCAATTTAACTTTAATTTATCTATCAATAAATTTGGGCTTTTTTATGCCTCTAGGCTTTTTTTCTAAAAGTGTGTTTCATTAAAAACCTCTAACTAATTATCATTCCATTCGTTAAAAATTCAAACTAATAACAAAAAACAAATTTCACACATGCCTGCCACCTAGGGCATGACGTGATAGATGATAAAACAGCATACTTGTAAAGTTAATTTTATTATCAAACCATGCGCATGTTTACATGTGATCCTGCTTTATTAAAAATTTTATATTTAATAATAACTTTTGATCTGTAGTATTTTATTTCACACAGACAAGATATAATAATGTGTATACAAAAATATTGCACTTTGAAGAATTTCAGCTAGATAAACGTTCATCCTGTATAATGCATAGTAAAATAATCACATTAAAACCTCTAAAATGTTCCATCTCATAAATTAGTCTAATTATATGATAAATTTTGTAATGATGGAAAGAAGGGAAAGAGTCATAGATGGAAAATCACTTAATTTTAATTATATTCAGCAACGTTTCGTCAGCACATTTGCTGACCTCTTCAGGCTTTATTAATAGAAAAACAACAAATTATTAACAATAGAGTTTGCAAAAGTAATTTTAATAGTATATAATTACATGTATATTTGTATATCTGACTTCTCTCGTAGCCAAATTATTATAGGCTAAAACGAATAGACCGTAGCACAGCCAAGTTACAATAAAGTGAAAAATCAAGTATTTTCTTTGTTCTTCTTCTATAATCGAAGATAACATCGTTTCTGCAGTATTATCACATGCTTCGTTAAGCTTTAACGATCGGACCTTTATTTCCATTTCTCGATTTTGTTGTTGTTCCTCTACAAGTAGAAATCTTTGCTTTTGATTTTCTTATTCGATTGCTTTTCTGCGCTGTTCTTGATGTTGCTTCTGAATCTTTGTTTGTTCATGTAGTTTCTGTGTAGTAGTTACATATTTCTCATTGAATCCATGAATACTGCTTCCATCGTTTTCATTTTCTAAGGGAACATCTTCACCTGAATGAAACTCACGTTGTTCAGAATTCCCCTTATTTTTCAAATTAGCTTTTGTAAAGCCATTTGTAAGTTTGATGATCATTTTTGTCTTTGAACTTTTAAAAACAGGAGTAGTAGATGCTTTGTCTACGGATTTTCTTTTAAATCTGAAATATAAAGTTTTTATTTGTACATAAATTAAAAATAACGCTTCTATATAATTAAAACTACTAAAATACTTACGGATTTGTAGTTATATAAGGTAAAAGAAACTGCATATAGTTGTATAATCCAAAACTACCAATTACGTCTGCTTTATGCTTAATTCTGTCAGCAGAGAAATATTGGCGTAGTTGACGCCACCTTGTTTTGATACTGACGACTGTAACTGTATTTATGAATCCCTCGATTGCTAGTGCTGAAAATAAATCTTGTTTTAATATTATGCTTTCTTTATAGTCAAATTAATCTAATGTGGTTGCCGTCAACAGAATGCGAAATCAACGAATAGCTAAATAGAAGTCAATTATAGTAAACAAAATAAATATTAGATAATTATAGGGAAAGAGAATAAATACTCATACGAATATTTGTCACCACGTATCATTGCTAACTGTCGAATTTCTTTTACAATTTCATCAACAATAATTTCCCATGTACTGTCAGTACTTTTACGTCTTCCATAATCATTGTCGGCTGGATCGTACAACGATTTTTTATCTTCGATTTTTGACAGTAAGATTTTATCATAATTAATTGATGATCCCGTTCCTGAGGCATAGTCCTGCTGACTATTGCAGCTGAACTCAGCTGGCATGGCATACGAGTGACCATCACAATCCATTGTATATAGCTATAAATCAAATAGAAAAATTTTATTATACTCATTATATGTTGCATTAAAAATTTGATTTTGATGAAAAACGATAAATGCAAATTAATCTTCTATAAGCTAATTGTAAAAAAAGAAAAAGTAAAAAAATTAATTTATATAAAAGAAGTAGGAAAAATGAACTAAAATTCTCTGAGTTCCCGTTATAAAATAAATAATATAGATGTAATTGAAGTATGATTCGAAAATATTACGATTATTATTATATTGAAGTAATTCTTTGTAATGCAATTGCATCATAAAAAATGTGCGAAAGCTGTCAGTGATACAAAAGAATCGTTCTCTTCCGCAGATGAAATAGTACATTACGATATAAGTACGGGAAAGTAGATTCTTGTTTCGTGTAGCGTTTACGCCCGAGCGAAGCGAGGGTGGAAAGGTACACGATATGGGAAACTCTTTCCCGAACATATGCCGTACCATATTTTTTTATACGACGTGTGGAACGTGCGATTTTCAACGCGCGTTTTTTGCCGAGCGTGCGAGACAGACGCACTTTGCTCACGGAGTATCGAAAAAAAAGTTACATTTGATACCGAAAAAATACGTGTACTTACCAATTAAGCAGTGAAGAAGACTCGTTGCAATTACGAGTATAACAAATTCGTATTGTCGCGTATAAATACGTGAATTGTTGAATGAAGAAACGCGTAAAATACTATCGGCTAGAATTTGATGCACACGAAAAAAGGGAAAGCGTCCTAGCAGGAAGCAAAAAAGAAGAATAACGCGCGTGTCACAACTCGAATAGGCGCGGGCTCAAATGTCCTCTTTTAAATTTTTTTTTTCGCTGCATAGTTTTCTACGCCAAGGTCGTTTGAGATACGCATGAACGGAGCAGCAGGTAAATGAGCAGTCATAAAAATAAAGGGTCGTCGCAGGTAGAAGAAAACGAGCGGGAGTGTTGCTGCTACTAAGCACATTAATACCACATGTACCGCATTGTGGCGATTTGAAAGAGCGCGGGTCGTAGTTCATTTGCTTTATGAAAAACGTGTTGTAAACGTAACTCAGACCTTCTCTCAGATTCAGGAAAGCCTCTCGAGCTACATTGAGATGATGAAGTGACGATAAATTTTTTGCTGTGGTTTGTGGCCAAGCAATTGAATAAACAATATTATGCTCTATATAAATAAGCGAGACAAGCGCGTGATACGAGCGGTGGAGCGGCAAA